CAGTAAAAATCTAAAAAAAAAAAAATTCTGAAAAATAAATGTTATCCATCAAAAGTATAAAAAAAATCACATTTTGCCAAGTCTAATTATCAACCCTTGTGAGTTGCCCCCTTGTTTGCATTGCTGCTCTGTTTTGGTTTAACTTTCCTAAAGGGACATTGTCAACCTGAATTTTTTTAATTGACTATTTAAAACAAAAGAGAATGTCCTAAAAGAGCGCTCTTTCAAGATTGACTTGATGTTTGTTTTTAATTTTTTTAGTTTTTGTTTTTCATGCTCCCCTGGTGCTTAGAATGGTGCTTGGGGCAGGCCCAAGATCAACTATCAAATAGACTCAGACCTGGTACACTGCTGCCTGCTGCTTCTTTAGTTTCTGTTTCAGCTTTGTTGCTACTTTTTCTGGAAACACCATATTGCAGGGCCTAGAGAAGGTGTGCGCCATCAGCAAAATGGAAAAAAGGGCTATCTAAAGTGCTGTCAAATTCACCAAGTCAATAAACTGAAAAAATAGTTTTTTTCCTTTTATTCTCTTGTTTCTAATAATTCTAAGGCCTTCCTGTAACAGTAGTAAGGACAGGTTACAGAGTGGTAGCCGTATTAGTCTCTATCAGCAAAAAGAATGAGGAGTACTTTTGGCACCTTAGAGACTAACAAATTTATTTGGCCATAAGCTTTCGTGGGCTAAAACCCACTTCATCGGCTGCATGCAGTGGAAAATTCAGTGGGAAGATATATATATATATACACACACAGAGAACATGAAAAAATGGGTGTTGCCTTACCAACTCTAACAAGACTAATCAATTAAGATGGGCTATTATCAGCAGGAGAAAAATAACCTTTTGTAGTGCTAATCAGGATGGCCCATTTCCAGCAGTTGACAAGAAGGTGTGAGTAACAGTAGGGGGAAAATTAGTGTGGGGAAATAGTTTTTACTTTGTGTAATGACCCATCCGCTCCCAGTCTTTATTCAAGCCTAATTTAATGGTGTCCAGTTTGCAAATTAATTCCGGTTCTGCAGTTTCTCGTTGGAATCTGTTTTTGAAGTTTTTTTGTTGAAGAATTGCGACTTTTAGGTCTGTAATTGAGTGACCAGGGAGGTTGAAGTGTTCTCTGACTGGTTTTTTAATGTTATAATTCTTGACGTCTGATTTGTGTCCATTTATTCTTTTGCGTAGAGACTGTCTGGTTTGGCCAATGTACATGGCAGAGGGGCATTGCTGGCACATGATGGCATATATCACATTGGTAGATTTGCAGGTGAATGAGCCCCTGATGGCATGGCTGATGTGATTAGGTCCTATGATGGTGTCCCTTGAATAGATATGTGGACAGAGTTGGCAACGGGCTTTGTTGAAAGGATAGGTTCCTGGGTTAGTGTTTTTGTTGTGTGGTGTGTGGTTGCTGGTGAGTATTTGCTTCAGGTTGGGTGGCTGTCTGTAAGCGAGGACTGGCCTGCCTCCCAAGATCTGTGAGAGTGAGGGATCATCCTTCAGGATAGGTTGTAGATCCTTGATGTTGTGCTGGAGAGGTTTTAAATGGGGGCTGAAGGTGACGGCTACTGTTACTCACAGTATTTTCAGGTGGAAATGAAATTTTCAAGTTTTCCATGCATAAATTATCCTGCACGTCTAGACTCTGGTTTTGTTCACATTTTAAAAATACAAAAAGCGGTTGATGTTACAGTAGTGTCTGTGTGAAACATTGGCACTATTGGATGCTCCACTAGGGCAGGAGTTCTCAATCTTTTTCTTTCCGAGCCCCCCTCCCCCCTCCATGCTATAAAAAACTCTACAGCCCTCCTGTGCTACAACAACTAGTTTTCTGCATATAAAAGCCAGGAACGGCATTAGGGGGTAGCAAGCAGGACAACTGCCTGGGGCCCCATTCCACAGGCTTCGACTTCAGTCCCAGGTGGAAGGGCTCAGGGCCCCGGGCTTCAGCCCCATACAATGGGACTTCATCTTTGTGTACTGGGTCCCAGCGAGTCTAACACTGGCCCTGCTTGGTGGCCTCCCTGAAACCTGCTTGTGGTCCCCCAGGGGGCCCTGGATCCCTGGTTGAGAACCACTGCACTAGGGCATAGCAGCTTACTATTGCTGCCAGTCAACGAAGGCTGTGTCTACACTGACACTTCCAGTGCTAAAACTTTTGTCGCTTGGGGTGTAAAAAAACACACACACACCCCGAGCGACAAAAGTTTTAGCACTGAAAAGCGCTAGTGTAGACAGCGCTAAGCTACCACCCCTTGTTTGGGGTGGTTTTGTTTTATTGCTGTTAGAGCTCTCGCCTGGCGATAGAGCGACTACACAGTGCATCTTAGAGCACTGAGCTGTGTAGACGTAGCCTAAATTACTTCTTGTGACCAAATGGCGCAAGTCTGTGCTACAGTGTGGAAAGTCCAGGTTCAGATCCTGCCGAAGACCCATTGTGAAGCAACAAAACAGGGTGAAAGTGTGCATCCTCTGGCTTTGTTACATTTGGGGCTTTTGTGCAAAGATTTCATGGTCTCCTAGGGCTAGGACCATTCAAAGGGATGTCTGTTTGCAAAGTAAGACTCAACTCAAGGATACAGCCAGAGGGAATTTTTATAGCTGAAACAGCAACATCCAGAGAAACTGATTAAAAATCAAGCAGTCAAGCCAGGAGCAACTTCAAGAAACAAGCTTTGGACCAGTTCACTAATCTCCAGATCTGCAGAAAGTGCCCATGAAACCGATGCATCCATTTAGCAGAACTCCTTGTCCTCCTAGTTCAGTCCTGCATGTGGCTCATTAGGGTAATTACTGATGAATTAAAGCAGCTTGGCTCAGCACTCAGGCTGCGGGTGTGTGGGCTCCCCTGCTGGCAGGCAGCAGGTGTAAATGAACAAGATCTGTCAAAAAGGCTGATGACCCTCTTAATTCACAGCAGCAAACGGGGGACAGAGGTAGTACAGCAAGTTTAATAATTGATATTTACTCGGAAAGGTTAATGGCAGCAGTGATGCTGCTAATTTGTTTGCCCGTGCAAGACCTTGTCAGGTCAAATTGTCTCAATTTGTTCCTATGTGTAGGTGTAGTTTCTTTCCTCCAAAGTTTTTTAAAGGGAAACAGGTCAGGTGAGGGAACAGGGGGACATACTACTGCTCAAGAAAGATTGTGTTCTCTTCAGTAACAGACTGGGTGAGACCTTTAACTTCGGAGGTTTTAGTCTTGTTATGTGTTTCTGGTGAATATTTGAGTTTGAGATTAAGGAATTAGTAACGTTGGGAATGGTGGACTCTTTTACTGTCTCTCTCTCTCTCTCTCTCTCTCTCTTTTCTCTCCTCCTCTCCCCCGCCTTTGGACATGTCCAGATGTGCTGTAATCTCAACCCTGCACGGGACCCTCTCTGAAGCTAAGCAGTATTATATTCTCCAGACTAGCTCAGTAGTTGGCCTCAGTCTGGGAACAGTGCCCTGCACATTCATTGAGAAGAAACCGAGGCATTTTAACTGCCACAGTACCAAGCGTTGAATGGGGGCTTTGTACAGGATGTACTAGAGCATTTCACTGTTGAGTGTGTGCACTGAAGCACCTCAGTGTTGTACTGAAGGGCGCTGTCTCCATGGGCATGGAGTGACAATGCCCTCGGAAGGTGCTAACGTGTGCTGGAACCACCAGCGATTGTCTCTGGCCATTGAACTGCAGATTATGCAATGAAATTGCACCCAGGGAAACAAGGGAATTTTATGGCCATTAAAAGTACCAATTTGTACAAACCAACATTTTAAATAGTGTAATTTAAATAGAAGCAGACTGATATGAATAGAACCTATTAATAAATTAAACACTTCCTTCCACCCAGTATTTCACAAGAAAATTAACAGAATAATTTGTTAGTAGATGATCCCAGGAATGTGGCAGTGAATGACATTTCAGCTCTGTTCTTCCTCCCCCTTTCCTTTTAGAGTCTTTGCAGAATGAAGTACTGGTATTGCTGTGATTTGAGACATTATCCCTTTCATGTAGTGTTCTAGGTTCAAATGTAATCAAGATCACAAGTGAAAAGACGATGAGGATGGAAGGATAGCCCAGTGGTTAGGGAACTAGCCTAGGATTTAGGAGACCTATGTTCAATTTCCTGCTCTGCCAGACATCCCTAAGAGGCATTTAGGCTCCTAGTGTGATTTTCAAAAGCATCTAGGCACCTAACACACATTGAAATCCAAGAGGTTTAGGTGTCTAGATGCTTTTGAAAATCCTGTTTGGTGTCTAAATATCTTTAAAAATCTGGCCCATAAGCCTCTCTCTGACTCAGTTGCTGATCTGTAAAATGAGGATAAAAGCATTTCGCTACCTCAGAGGGCTAAATACATACATTGTCTGGAAAAATACATTGAAGCTTGTGAGGTAATGGTAGATTTTCGAGAAATGAGTTGATTTGTCTCAGTACAGAACTATGACTTATTTTATTACATAATGTTACTGCATACTGACTGGAGACTCCACAGTAATATATCACACAGTAAATTTTATTCCACATAAATAAGCAGTTTCACTCTATTAGGGAGGTGAGGGGAGCTTTGTTTCTTTTGAGACCCCAATGTACTTCTAAACAAGTAATGGTAGCTCAGTATGGGGATGGGAGCCTTAGACATGTGTATATTAATAATAATTCCACACAGTTAGGAGTATGTTCAATACTGAAGTGGTTGAGGTCTGAATTGAGGTGCATTAGTAGTAGATTGTGAGGGAAATTTGCCTATTGTCTACCTGATCAGAGCTACTTGGCTCAGCCTGTCCCACTTCCCTGAGTGCTAAATTCACCTGTTCCTTGAATGCTAACAGAAAGGGATGCAGAAACAAGTGGGTAAGCCACCCTTTGGAAAAGTCTCATGAACTCAAGAGCATCTTCTCCACACTGCAGTGAAATTATAGGTGTGAACACATTTGAGAAACTGCGTTTGGTGACCTCAGGAACAGTTGATGCAGCAGTGCCTGAAAATCCTCTATTTGTTTTTCGTTTGCTCCCTCTAGATGAAGGTCCCTGCAAGCAGAAGTGGCAGAAATAGCGAAGAAGACAGCATCAGGGAGGCCACAAGCTCTCAGCGGAGCAGCTCGAGGGACCGTCTCAGTGATGTAAGTACCAGAATCAAGCGCTGCTTCATTGCAGCAATTCCCGCTGCTGACATGGCTTTTCATAAATCTCGCTGAACAAATGTTGGCATCCAGAGGTCACTGTGTAATAACTTTTTTTTATGTCATGATTGAATGTTATGGCATAAGTGGTTGAGCTGCCTTGCAAACACTATAATCATGGTGCAAATAATATGATAAGTGAAAGATCAGAGATGGGAAAACAAAATGGAATTGTTATTCCTGAGGGGAAAGATGGCTTGAGATTTTTGTAAAGAAAAAAGTTGTGTAAAAAGCTTTTTACCGATGCTTTTGTTTTTAGCTTCTGCATAGAATTATGGTGGATGCGAAGCTGGCTCACCTATTGTTATGCTTCCTGCCTCTGAAAGATGAGCATTTTTTGAGTGGTGGTGGAGAGCTGCCTTTCTCTCAGGAAACTCAACTCTACGTTGAGTGAAATGTTATGATAAAACAAAAGTAAATGGTGCCTTCGTGTGTAAACACACAAATGGGCTTTTTAGTCACCAAGAAATCAATGGCAGTGCTGGGATAATTTTATGTGAAGGCTTTTTGTGTTAGCAATTAGCATTTCGCCTTCATTAAAACATGATTTTTTACTAATTAGGACCTTTCCCGTTAGGAGAGATTTAAATGAAGAACAATAATCAAACGCTGGCACAAGCATGTCTGAAATATTAAATTTAACATTTCAATGGCAAGCCACAGAAATCCCAGGGCGAGCAGTTTTCATGTTGAGTTCTATTAATGTAAAATATGCTTCATAACTAAAACCTGTCACAGAAAACGGCTCACACCAGCCAAATTCAATTGGACAGTTAATTTAGCTTTAAAATTGAAAACACTACCTCTGCTTCAGGATGCAAAAGGAAGGAGGGGGAAAAAAGCCTTTGATAAGTGTAATGTATTTGCCATTAAGGCTTTCAGAGCCCATTCTACAGGAGAAGAAGGGGGGGAAAAAGAAAGAGGGGAAAAATGGCTCCCACAAATGTGTTTAAAAGCTGAAAGTATTTATTAAAAATGTCAGCAGAAAAGTGCTTCTGGCAGATTAAAGCGGGATTCGGCTTGACAGCTCTGACAGGGAAATGTGACGGGGGAAAATTCTCTCTACATGTTTTGAGTGTGAATGGGGTGCTGTAAACAGCCTACATGGTGGGAGGAAGGGGAAAAAAAAAAAAGCTGTCCCTGTGATTTGCTTCTAGGATAAAGAATCTGAGCACACTGGAGAAGAAAAAGGGGGGGAAAATCCCTTAAGGGCAAATCATCTTGTGTGTGTGTTTTTGACTGTGTGTGTTTGGACAGTAATAGTCTTTTTTTTTTTTTTCATGATTCTCTTCCTCTAGTCATTCTTGACAAGTATGTGATCTGAGGCAGCTGGTAACACTGATGCTGCTCAATACAGCTTGGGGGGAGGGGGGGAATAAAAGATTCAGACCTACCGATTGGTTTGAGTAGTTTAGGTCAAAGTATTTAGATGGCAACTGGTTAGCCAGTGTCACAGGTTCTTGGAGGCGCCTATAACATTGTAGGTGGGGAGAGAGCTATTTTCTCTTCCCACCCACCATCAGGGCGGCGAGTTATATGGGCCCGTGGTGCCTGGGCGCCAGCAATATTCAGAGCAACGGAGGCCCGGCTCCACCAATGTTCGGGGCTGTTTCTCCCCCCCACCCCCGCCTGCCGCCCCTGCATGCCTCCCCGAGCGTCCCTGCCTGTGCCCTGGGCAGCTGCGCCTTGCAGCTCCGGGCTGCCGGCTCCCGGCATCAACTGCCTCCGCAGGGTCCTAGCGCCCCCCCCCACTAGTGCCAGGGCAGGCTGACCCTGCCCTTCCGCCTCGGATGGACGGACCCTTCCTTTTCCGGTGGGACCCTCTACCAGCACAGGGGGGCCCCCCACCAGCAGTCACTGCTTCTGCCCCACACTGGGCAAGAGGCAGCCCCATCCTCCAGCTACAGTGAGGGGCAGCAGCAGGGGAGGAGGTGCACAGGTGATGGCAACCCCCCTCCCCCTGCACCCACCACAGGGGAGGCAAAGGAACTTCCTGGACCTGAGAGGGGCCCTAGGAGCATGTGCAGTGATAGTGGTGCGAGGTGAGTGCTGCCCCAGCCAGGAGTAGCCTGCCTGCACCCCAAACTCCTCATCCCTGGCCCCACCCCACCCCAGAGTCTGCACCCCCTCACACCCCAACCGTCTGCCCCCTCCTGAGCCCCCTCCTGCACCGTGAACCTCTCATTCCCAGCCCTGTCCTACAGCCCCCACCCCAGCCCTCTGCCCAAGCCCACACCCCTCATCCCCAGCCTACCCCAGAGCCTGCACATTTTTACATTTTTTTTTAAATCAGCTTACAAGGCGCAGGGGGGGGGGCACGCGGGCGCGGTTTTGGACCCATTCTGGGCACCACCAAAAATTATACAAACCTGCCGCCCCTGCCCACAATGTTACGGCATGAGAGCCTAAAGAATTTGACCTTCATTGAATTTTATTGGGTGTCTAACTCCGTAGGCTTCTCACAGGGAGTTATTCATCCAAGGAAATTCAGTGTGAGTCGGGTGTTCAACTCTTCCAGTCTCCTTGGAGACTTCCAGCCATGGTGCCTATGGGTAGGAGCATACAGTAGAACCTCGCTTATGTTGCTCTAATGACCCAGCGACCCATTACAAATGATGGAATTTTTCCAGTTAGTGACTAATTACATTGTTTGAAGAGCGAGGTTTATGAATCACAAAATGCACTTTGTTCGTTATTTGATGATTGCAGTTCAGTTTTAATTTACTTTTCACAACAATTCATCACAAGGTAGTAAATGTCTGGTAGCCTATTTAGTAACAGTTACAAAGTAATCCTTCAAAGGCTGCACTGTTGCAATCTGCTGGTACACTTTTGCAGAGAAGTGGGGAAGAAGACCCAAGATTTTTTGTGTGCATGCTATGAGGAGTGTGGATTAACATAGGATTCTACTGTCCATCCGATAAGGCCCCCATATGGCTCTATAGATGCATCTCCTGGCGTATCCTTCAAATGGATGGTGTGCAATTGAACTGACTTGACCCCTTATGTGTGGCACTCAGAGGATTAAACCCCCATCGTGCACTAAAGATGTAAAGGGAAGGGGTTTTATTTTCTTCCCCCTTAGGGGCTGCTGGAGGGATTACAAATTGAGGCTCTGAAACGCAATTGTCCTAGAGCGGTTACTTTTTCTTGCTGACATATCATGCTGCCTCAGGCATCTGGCCCATTGCTTGCTCAGTCTGACTAGCTGTCCTGCTGTTTCTCAGTGTGTTTGGGCTCAAAACAGTCTTGTGATGCCTGCTTTGTAATGCCTTCTTCTCCCACCTCCATCCCTATTAACTTGTAGCAACAACCAGAGTAAATGAAGCAGGTGCTAGCAGATTTGGCTGCTATACTGTGGCACAGCAGGTGTGCAGAAGGATGTATGCGTTAAAGTTACTGCTCTGGGAGCACTGTAGGGCCATCACGCACATTCCTTTGTGGCATTCCTTGGCTGCTCCTCTCTCACTTCAGTGCATTCTGCATTTAGGAGGTGCTATTAGGAGCAACTTAGTTTCTCTGTATGAATTGTTTCTTGAGATGACTTATTTAATGGGGTGCCAGTAAGATGTGTTTTATTTACATTAATGCATGTCTTTAGTCTCTGATGGACCATGAAGGCAAGAGGTGGCCTGGTCTGTCATGAAATAATTACACCCTATAGGAAACTGAAGTGAAGTGATTGACTGAGTCTCTCTCTCTCTCTCTCACACACACACACACACACACACACACACACACACACACACACACACACACACACACACACACACACACGCGCCCCCCCTCTCACACACACTCTCTGC